AACAGATTGCCTCGATTTTGCTCTTATAAACACGATTTCATCCCGCTAAATTCAACACCATGCAATCTGATAATCTCAGGGGCTGTTACATCATTTTAGTGTGTGTGCGCGGTGTAATATTTCAGTGTGTGGTTGATAGCCTACAGCTCTGATACATGCAGTGCCACATAATTATATCTCACATGAGAATAAGCTGTGGATGAATTGGGATGTTTAGGGTTGTACATGATCCTCATCAGCTGTTCTCTTTTTCTGTTCTAGTGTGATCTGATGCTAGCTGGGACAGGAACACAGCTTTTCCACTGCAGTTTTTCTGACTGATTTGCATAATCCTACTGCCTACTGTTCCCTTTAGAGAGAGAGAGAAAAAAAGCACGTTGCAACATTATTGAGACTGCATTGAGAGACAATTCTTAACTTCTTAGTCGTATCTTCTCCTTAACTCAATATTTAGTTTTTAACGTAATAAATCAAACTTATCATTTGTTTCCTTATATTAGTGATGAATTGGTTGAAACGATCTCTGAATGATTCACTGACTCATTAAACGTTGAACTGTCTTTTTCCTAATGAGCCGAGAACTGATGAGTGAGATGATAGTAAAAACATTTGGAGAAAATGAAGGAAATATGTTTATGACTTTACTGTATGACAGTTGGTAAATAGTATTTTATTAAAACATACAAAATTCATTCAAGAGTTTTAAATGAACTTCATGGACAAATCATGGTACAAACAACAAACCGAACTGTGAAATTATAATAAGCAGTACACTCTAAAAAAAATGCTGGGTTTTTTTTTTTAACCCAAATGCTGGGTTCAGCCTGTTGGGTCAATTATTGGGTTATTTAATTTTTTTTTTACCCAGGTACTGGGTAGTTTGTATGACATTGTATTCCTATCAAATTATTACTGTATAAATAGGAAAACATCTGTAATCTCACATTTTTCCTTTTTTGTTTAAATGTAAGTCGCAGCTAACATCTGCTTGGAAGACTAGCCTTCCACAAAAGCAGCATTCATCACCGGATCTGCACTCAAAGCGTACGAGGCACCGGCGCCACCATGGAAGTTTCACCTCCCGCTAAACGAATGCGCGACCAGGGCACAAACACGACATGACTTCACTGTTATTTATAACAAAGTTTCCATGCGCTCCACAGATTACAATGGGAACACTATTGATCTAGTGCGCCAATGTTGTTACAGCTGTGGTCGCGCTATGCATTTGACAGGTTTAAACTTAAGTGTCTGACAGACAAGATGGCACGAGGTAAAGCTGTTTTTGATGTAACTTTTCAAACACGACTGACTATAAGATAAGTCATGATTATAAGTTATTTAATGAACTTGAACAGCCTACTGATAGCAGTTTTCTTCCCACTGCTCCTGTCATGTTCGAAAACCTTTACTGAATGTTTTTGAAGATTTTATGATTGTAAAAGACTGACTTGACATTGAATAAAATATATATATATATTGCATGTGAGCTGTTCTTGTCCTGTATAAAACAGATTTTAGAATGCATTTTTATTATTTAAAATGAAAAACCTTCAATAGGTTGACTGACCCAGCACTATGTCAAAAAACGACCCAGCAAATAGGTTAATATATAAATAACTCAGCATGTGTTCTGTCCAATAATTACCCAGTGCTAGGTTGCCAAATAACCCATAAATGGTTGTTTTTAACCCAGCATTTTTAGAGTCTATAATTATTAATAAAACATATTATAAATATATTAATGAAGCAATATCACATAAGCAAAGTGTCTCAGGCAATCACAGCCTTCTTGATATTTACAAAAACAGCACAATAGCAAATGTGATACTGCTTTTATACTGTAAAAGTGAGTGAGCAAGAAGTTATTTTTCGAATAACCTGCATTTTAGACACTGTCGCCAGTAATTTTGTCAGTTTTTGCTTTGCTAATTAAAATAGTTTCAAAAACGACAGCAGAATTAACAAGAGCAAAGCATCACTAAGAAACACAGTAATGCCGTTTCGTTGCTGAATGAATTGAGTGAATCATTCAGTGTACATAAACAGCCATTTGTTTCCTTCCTGCATGAATCAGTGTTTGAATAAATAGGTTAAATGAATAATTGAATGATTCATATGCTCACTTGTTGCCACCTACTGATGTAACAATGTAACTCACAGCAAAGAGTGAAGGATCGCCACTACTAATGAACGAATCAACATTTAAGGCCTGTACACAAAGCTGTCGAGCAAGTAATACAGATGCAGTCACCATATCCACTTAGAAACATGTACAAGACCCAAATAATGTGTTTACACACACAGATACATATCACCTCTGAAGAAGATTCTGTACAGTAGATAAAAGGAATATTGATGGTGGAGCGATAATTCAAACCCTTAAAGGCTGTGTATATCTGTATGTAATCGCACGCACACACACACCCACACACACACACACGTGTGTGTTTGTGTTGAGTAATTCAGTGCCCTGTACACTTGAACAGCAGTAATGGAGTTTAGATATCAGATCAGCGGAGAACTGTTGTGACACTGAGATAACAACTGCCGTGATGTGTATCAAATGCAGTTGCTTTATACAAATCAAACAGATTTTACTGTTTCTGCTGACAACATTTAAAAAAAATCTCTTTAAATGCGCAAAAGAGAATTTTTTACAGCTTGGCTACCTCTGAAACAGAGAGAGAGAGAGAGAGAGAGAGGAAAAGAGCCTGGAGTTGTGGGGGTGAAATCTTGGAACTGATTATGTATGAGTGTTTCTGTGTAGAGAATTACCCAGCCATCATCTCAAGTCACTGTCATGGGCTTGTATATGTGAAAGTCAGCAGGAAGCAATACTATAACGCATCTCGTCTTTACTCGAGCATGGAAGCCATGGTTACTCAAGCACAGCGTCTCTATAGCTCTGTGACCTTGTACATTGCCACTTCCTTCCTATATGAACACAAAGGAACCGTGAGATCCAGTTAATTTCAGATCTGATTGGGAACCGGTTCAAAAGAGACTTTGGTGACAGCCACATTCTGTATATTTCATTAAATTAACAGTCACAATGGAATGTTTTGGCCAATTTGGTTGAGGTGTGCTGTTTGAATGGAATTGTAGTCAATAACTAGCAGTCTGTTATAACCACTGATCTATTAAAATGATCTATAAAAGTGAAGCCACCGTGCCGCCATATTGGTATTCCCTAATATTCCCATACATTTCTATTGAATTAATAGGAAATCACACAATTTTAATGAGAAAACATCACCAAACAAGTCAACATTTTTATATCTTAAGTGTCACTGTTCAATTTTACAACGCAAACGCCCTAAGCATGTAAATGGTTATTTGTTTAATGTCTGGAATTTCTCTTGCATATTAAAAAGTTACATTCTAATACATTACAGTAGTGAATATCAGAGATGAACATGATGAACATCAGATGCTCAACATATGCATTACAAATGACAAAGTGCTCATTCTGAAATCTGAATAAAGATTTATGCTTTGTATACGCATACCTCTCAATTTGCCTCTCAATTTTGTTATTCACTGTTTATGTAATTTTGTTGTATTTAGTGTATTTATTATACAGTAGGCTAACTACAGATGTTTCAATAATGATTTCTTCAACAACATTCATTTTGAAGCAGGTAAATTAATCATTAATTCAACATATATACATAACATTTTACTCCTATGGAAACGGTTATGATAGTAAAAAGCAATAGAATTTGCGCAAGTCTGAAATACATAGATGTTGCTCAATCAGGACATTAAAAATATACATATAACTTATTCAGAGAAATAACGCTGACTACATACGGTATACACTTAAAGAACATGAAGCTTTTATTTCCAAGATTTGAATTTCAAAACAACATGGAGCAATATAGGAACAGAGGGTTGTATTGTATTATTTATTGTATATTCGAATCAATTTCTGATACTAATACCAGATATTTATTCATGTTTAATATTTCCTTCATAATTACGTATATAAAGAAATATATTTTATGTTAGATCAGTGACCTGTGTCGGTAGTGTGCAGCAGACACACCCACCTAAACGGTTTGAATATAGCCCATCACTTATCCTGTCCGAAAAGACCATGAACATTGCAGATAACATCTGAAGTCAAAATTAATTTACATACACATATCTTTAAAACTAATCCTGTGTGACTGATACGCTTCAAATCGGATGATTTTAGGTCAAGGTCAGTGATGCACTCTGTTGGTAGGGAGTAAGATAGCCACTCTTACACTTCCGGTGGCTTCACCGCCTGACAGCAGTTAGAAACAGTGGTTATAACTAGCTTTTAAAAAAAAAAAGTTTTATAATAATAATTCAATAATAGGATAGTTTAAATACGAGTTTGATATAGTTCAGATATTTTATTTATAAATTATTTATAATAATATAATAAATGGTTATTGAGCACCAAAGCATGTTAGAATGATTTCTGAAGGGTCATGTGACACTGAGTAGCTCTGCTGAAAATGCTGCTTTGCCATCACAGGAATAAATTACATTTTAAAGTACATTAAAATAGAAAACAGTTCTTTTAAATTATACAAAATAGTTCTTAATATTTCATTAAGTATTAATGTATACTGTATTAATGATTAAATAAATGTAGCTTTGGTAAGCATAAGAGACATCTTTTTTGATTAAGCAATCCTTTCAACCTAAATTTTTTGCTGTTAATACTAATAGGTCTATCAACTTGTCTCAGTTAAAAAAAAAAAGCTGAAAATTTGGGTATTTTGTTTATCCTATCAACCTCGTCTGCTCCGTTTCAAAACCGAACCAAAGCAGTTAATACAAATCCAAACGAGATACAGCATTATATCTCAACACCCCTGTCAGTTTTGTTTCCAGAGAGGTGACTGTGGAGTGGAAGCCAGGATGTGACCGTTTGATGTTAATCCAGAATGTTTCTGATGTTATGTAACTGTTGTCCTCCTGTAGCTTATCCTGCGTCTACTCCATCTATCTCTCTGTAGTTGATCAGCGGGGGCTCTGTAGTGAATGCCGAGGCAGTATGGGACCATGTGACCATGGCTGACCGGGAGCTGGCTTTCAAGGCTGGCGATGTCATCAAGGTGTTGGACGCCTCGAATAAGGACTGGTGGTGGGGTCAAATCGACGAAGAGGAGGGCTGGTTTCCTGCCAGCTTCGTCAGGGTGAGCCCATCTCTGACTTTTAACACTTTCCTGTCTGACATACCTGTCTGATGGCCACCTGTCTAACAAACACCTGGCTAAGACACATCTGCAGAACCACAGCTGTTTTCATATCCAATACCGTTTTTAACTGGATAGAAGTCAGATTAAGCTGTTTAAAAGAGATGCAACACAATATAGAAATTGACAATATAACACATTTTCAGGTAAAAAATTCAATATTAAAGACATACAGTCACACCTCAGTCAGAAGAGGTCACATTCTTCCCTTTAACGTCCATCTTGAATCCAAACTCTTGTTTGTGTTGCTGTTGTTGTTTCTCTAAGGTGGAGTCCCACCCCCCTCAAACCAAACAGCTTTTTTATATCAACCCTGTCGCTGCATCACGCTTCACAAACACCACGGCTAAGGTGCGTTTTTTTTTCAAAACCACTGCTTACCGTTTGACCGTTGAATGCATCCCATCGCTTACTGCTCCCATGCTGTCGCTGTGTTCCAACGTTTCGTTTCGGCCACAGTCGCTGTGCTTCGCTTCCATGGCAAATTATCTTCATGCCGGTGACAGTCTGGGTCTGTCAGAAAATACTGAAATAGGAAAAAGATTTTGTTAATGTAATGCTGACTCAATTATGACATTTAACGATGACTACTACCAATATTTCCCTCTTTTCTGACAGTATTTGGTGACATCTTGTTTTTTTTAAATTTTTTTTATACTGTGACTTGAACAGATGTTGGTCTTAATTTGAGCCTCTCTGCCTGCTAAAGATCTATCTTTAATCACATTTATATATATATATA